TGTTAGACGGCTGGCGCCTAAAGTATTTACAAAGCCTGGTTTTATCGAGTACCTGTATTGAAAGAAGGTTGATGGAATGAATATCCATGTGTGCGTGTGTGCGTGCCTGTGTACACGTATCACTTCTTAATGTGTAAAACGTCTGCTTTGTGTACCTGTACGTACTTTCTGTGTTAGTAATATTTGCGCATAGAATTGCGAATGCAATCAGATACTAAAATCATTAATGCATTTAAAAAAATGACAGAAATATCAGCACATAACGAAATAGACAAGCGTCAGGTTCAATGCATCGATCGATTGATGCATCCACAGAGAAAGTAAACGAAAGAAAATTGCTTATCTTGGTAAATAAAATAAATAGCAATCCTTTTAATTCTTTTTGTATGTGTAGATAGTTGTTTAAACTTAGTTTAATCAAGCACAAGACCACGATAGAGGGGCATCTAGTGAGCGTCCCGAAATGAGAAATCTGAGAGCCGAGTTCGAATTCCACTAAAGTTCATTACAGTCAGAAAACACCGTTGAAAAAGGTATGGATTCAACTTTACGGACCTCCAGCTTTTGGTTTAAATAGCAGGGCAGACACCAGTCTATCGCAAAAAGAAATGGCAACCTACTGCGAGAAAATGTTCTGAATCGAATATGACATGATCGCCCAAGCGTGTATCATGTCTGACACTGACTTACATAGCACATAACGCGCGTGCGCGCACACACACATACAAATCAACAAATATCCCAAATATAATAATACAAATCAACAACATATATATATTACTTTAAGCATTACTTTCAATGGATACCCATAAGCCATGGAAGTTGAAAATAATATTAGCTCAAGCCTCAGGGAGCCATCTCTTCATGCAGTACCTCACCTTCGGGATTGGAGCTGAGGTCTTGTCTTGCAATTCATAGTCCTTTCTTCATCTATTATGGTTACATTTTTCAATAACTCACTCATGTTAAATGTCATTGCTATACAACTAACGAATACGATATAATGGAAAACAAAACAGTAACAGTAAACTGAAATAAGTATAGCAACACCATCATAATGGTGTAGAGTGTGGGAACCACACTATAGAAATACCAAAAGGCCATTTTCATGGACATATATTTCTACAGAATGAATATAAAATTAAAAAAAAAAGTGCAATATTTATTATATTCATTATTTTTTCGGTATAAGTGAAAAATACTACGAATGTTTAAATAATATTTTCAGGGATCGTTATTATATAATCCTTTCTCCCCCTCCAACTAGCTATGGACAAATAGCAGGATAGACTGGGTTCTATAGCCTTGGATGGCATCTGGTCTACCGCAGAAAGAAATGCGGGAATAAAATCTGCCTCGTCAGTCATGTATTCGACTTCCAGTTGAATCCATTACATTCATTTACGTGCTAGTATCCTTGGGAAAGGTATGAATCCTCCTCTTTTTCCTACAGCTAAGAGCAAATAGCAGAATAGACCGGGTTCTATAGCCTGGGATGACAACTGGTCTACCGCAGAAAGAAATGGTAACCTACTGCGGGAAAAAAATTCTGCCTCGTCAGTCATGTATAGAAAGATGCATGATCGCCTAAGCGTGTATCACGGCACATAACTGACTGATGGCACAAATATGATAGTAGTCACTGGTACACTGGAAAGATTGTTACTTGTTTTTGTTAGAGATTGTTAAAAATTGTGACTGGCCTTGGAATGAATAAGACATGTTTAGTACAGATAATTTCAAAATGACCCTCAAATAGGACATATCTAAAAGAAAAAAATGTATGGGCGGTGAAAAGCTTCGAAAAAGAAAAAAAAACTGCCGGTACGCCATATAAGGTAGCTTGAGAAACACTGGTCTAGAGACAAATAGTGGAGTAGTATCCTGTTAACTTTGCTATGAATTCACTTTTTCTGGTTGCTCTCCAAAACTAGAGGTCAGCCTAACCTGCTATTTAAATCCTAAGTGGGAGGAGAAAAGACAGATTGAAATTTTTTACCAGGCTATAAGACGGTATATATTTAGTAAAAAGTACGAGTCATAAATGCCGATGGTTAGAGAAAAGGAGAAAGGATTTGCTTGTGTCGATCACAAAGCAGTTAGGCCGAAAGACCTTGCTGAAGAGTTCACAGAGTTTAGTACAGAGGTCAATATCAGAATTGGTAAGTGTAGTAAATGACCGCAAGACACCTGTCTGAGATTTGAACTGGGCTCGACACCGCCAATATCCGTATACATTAATGAATGGGTGGTGAATCAAATTAGCTCGGTGTAAGATAGTCACTGATACAAACCTCCCCTCACTTCCACAATTATATAATTTATACAATAAATAACCATAAAAGTATTAATGATAAAAATTCCATACTGTGATTTTTTTTTTACTGACAAGTATAAATAATAAATTCAAAGTAAAAACCAATGGGAAGACAGTAAATAAGTCAAAGGAAGAAAGAATTCATTATGTGTGCATTTGCGTTTTTTTTCTTCGTCAAAGTTATCTAAAAACTTCCAGTCAACTACATTATTACATTTGAATAGTTTAACTGCATTTGCCTTGTCTTTTTAATGCAATGCTCAGGCCGTTTTCTATTCTACGACCATTAAGTAAAAAATAAAATTGAACATGAAAGATTCTAAATATCTAGATTTAACGTTGGCTTGCAAGAATACGAGATGCGAGTTTAAAACTCGTCAGAGTTTATTTCTTTATTTCCATTCTATGCTGCTTAACGATCGAAGAGTAAAATGATCTGTAAATTCTTTTTAAAAAAAAAAAAATCAGAAATAAGATAAACAAGTCCGAAATTATAATGAAATTGCTTCGTCTACTAATAAATTCCACTTTATACCAGTGACTATCTTGGCGTCAGGCAAACGAGCTTGTCCGGTGGACCATTTTGTGTAAGTGACGTCGATCTTCATAATGTTCCTCTTATTTGTGACCTTATGATTAAAATGAAAGTTAAACTCGGTACATAACAACTTAAAAAATTCGGGTCTTGACCTAAACTTTGTGTTACTCTATGGCAGGGTATTTCAACTTTTAACCTAACTGCTTTGTCGTCAAACACAAAAGCCTCGACACAAGCAAGTCACTTGCCTTTTTCCTTTTACCATCGGCATTTATGAGTCGTTCTTTTTACTACATATATGCCGTCATTTTTTTTCCTACTGCTTTTCATGGCAATCTCAGCCATTCTTACTTTAAAACCCGGTCAGTTTATATTCATTTATTTTTAATTTTATGGCAACATTGACTAAGCCCCCTGTCCCAGAATTCTTTGTCTGTCTGTTATTTTGAATTTAATTTAATTAATTCATTTATTTTTTAGCCTACCCCTCTGTAGTACTTTCATTTTCGTGTCTCCCCCTCTCCCCTTTTCATTTCCCTCTTTTTTTCTTTTTTTTTTAAAGCCATTTAACTTACTTTTTTTCACTACCCCACTTCCATTTTTGCTTCTCTCTCACTTTACACACACACACACATACACACACATACACACACACATACATATATATATATATATATATATATATATATATATATATATATATATATATAGGTATATTTAGGTAAAATATTCATCAAAAGAAGTTTAATGCATTATTATTTTTAATTAATTTACTCTAAACAAGGCGATAAATGCCACTAAGTCGCAGGTTGGGTGGGGGGACATTACTGGTGGTGACATAAAAGAAAATATTTTGGAAGGAATCGGAAACCCAATCCTAAACAAGAAACAATATTTTTCCACCCTTCGAATAAGGTATTGAGTATTGTACATGAAGTTGTGGAGAAACAATCCAAAGTTCATATTTTGTTATTGTTTTGTTCAAGAACTTTCGCCCATCTTGGTTATTAGCAAGAAGCAATGTGTTGTCTGTGTGGTTCTTACAATTCTTTTGTCAACATTTTGATATTATTATATGTATATAGTGTATATATATAGTGTATATATAGTGTATATATATAGTGTATATATATAGTATATATATATATAGTGTGTGTGTTTATGTATGTATGTATATGAAGAAAGAAAAGAAAGAAGTAAGTTGAAAATGCAACTGGAGTCTTTCAGAATATTTATCGGTTTCACGCTTCTATGACTTTATAAACTTTACAAACTTAAACTGAGATGGAGAGACTAGTTCCATATCTATCTATCTACATCTACAATATATCTATCTATCTATCTATCTATCTATATATATATATATATATATATATATATATATATATATATATATAATGCATATTTAGGCAGCAACCTTTCTTTCAAACAGTTTTCGCTGAATATGACAAACAATGAGCTGTCCAAATATACATTTATATATGTATTGGGGCGCATTCCTGACATCAAAACAAGGTAAAATGTCCAAATAAACATATATCCAAAAGGCCACCGTTGTACCTCAACGCACCAACTCATAACAAATGTTCAAAATTGTCCTCCGCTTGCTTCTACACACGCATGCACCCGTCGGATCATTGACTGGTGGATCCTTTCAAATAGTCCCACATCGGAGTCGGATGCTTTTGCAGACCGCCATGACACTTTGATGAAGCATCTCTGCATTATTAATGTCTGTTGCATAAACCAATTGTTTTAGGTGGCTCCACAGATAAAAATCCAAAGGATTGAGGTAGGGGGAACATGCCGGTCATAGACCGGTCCTCCCCTAGCTATCGATCTTTCATGGTACATGTCAGCCAGTGAAATGTGACTAAAATGTGCTGGTGCCCCATCATATATGAACCACCTGTGTCTTCGTATTAGCGGGGCTACATACTCTAGCAGGTCTGGAAGTTTATTCGAAATAAATCTCCCGTAAGACGTGCTGGAAGAACATATGGACCTACCAGACAGTCACCTACAATTCCAGCTCACACATTAATCGCAAACTGATGCTGATGTCTAGCCTGTATTGTACCATGGGGATTCCTATCAACCAACAAATGTTGGTTGTGTAAATTTATTATTCCATCTCTTCCAAAT